ATTTTATATAAAACATTTTCTTATCTAAATATATATTTAAAACTACCGGATGTTCTTGTGCTTCGGTTGAACAAGGTATTTAATAACTGTTGGCAGGTAGCGTAATTTTTCTTTAACGACGTGAGGTACTTCCGAGTTTTGTTGGTAATGCTGATTATATTTCATAACAGTACCATTATTACTCTCATACATTATACCACCACCATAACATTGAGGACTCACCTTAAACCCAAATAAAAAGTTCGATTGAATTATATGTTTTATTTTGATATTATTATTTAAAAATTTACTTACAGTTAAACTAGAACCATCTTTGTAATCGACACGAATATCCCCAGTTGATAATTGTGTCGCAGTACCTACACCTGGAACTCCTATCTTATATGAATTATTATTATTCATATTTCGCATAGAATTCATTTTCCGTGAACGTGATGCAACTGTCGAAATGACGGAACTGGCATCAAAAGACGGCATCTAAAATACGAATATACAGATGTAGATTATACGTTTACAACTGATTTATATTTTATTACCTACCACGGGTGTATGGTTTGTTGTCTGCGAAACATTTTCTTTTCCTTGTAAACAAGGGGTATCACTCAAGGCCGTACTTGGCCTACGTCCAATAATGACAGGAAAGCAAGAATGTCCAGTAGCTGCTTCCAAAGATGTTAAAGTAGACTCTAACAACAAACAACGCTGATAACACTCTGAATAATGCTCATAATAATCGTCGAAATGTGGTGGAAATTCACTCTCGATATAGGTAGGGCCATTACTTCTTTCAGTTATTTTTACAATACCATCAACGCGTACAACCTATAACGATGAAGATCTTGATTTGTTCAGGACGTGCATATGATTTATAATGCTTATTTATACCTTCACTCCATTGTAAAAGTGAACTTCACAATCTGGCTGTGGTCCATTCTCCATAAAAAGGCATTTAGATTGTTGAGTGTACAGTGTTAGTTTCGGTGTTTTAGCTCTCACAAGTTTTATAAAACGAGAAGCATATACATATTTTCTATGATGGCGCGGAGGTAAATTTTCATACGAATAAATACTGTCTGCACCACGAGCAGGTAACGGGGGCGGTTGATTACCAACATCCATTGAAGCAGTGGGTTTATATAGAATAACTCTTAAGCCATCGCTAGATATTCGACATATTTCACTTATTTTTTCCTGTAAGATAGAAACATTTGTGTTTAAAACACTTGAAAATACTTTGGATTTTGTTTTTCATACATACCATGCCATTTCTACGTTTGATAAACTCAATGCAAACTTCACCATTGTCTAGGATAGTAAGAATTGCATTTTTCGTTCTATGTCTAGTAGGTTGCAGTCTTTCTGACGACAAAGGTGGAACTTGTAATTTCCCTCCCTCTTCGGTACCTTCGCAACAATTGTCGACTTTTTCTTTCTTTCTATATTTATCATTCTTGTGTGTTTCAGTCTCTTGATATGCATCACAACTATTATATTGCTCACACTGTGAAAATATTTTACTCTGCGGCGGCGGTGGTATTCCGAGTAATATAGAATTTTGTTTTGCACGGTAATCGACACAATTGGTCTTATGTGAATATGTTTTTGCGATAGGCTCAGATAAAGCTTCACTTCTTGTGCTAAACATTGGTCCAAGACCATTAGACATTATAGGCATTGTTGACATTCTTTCTTCTGATCTAGAACGCATTCTTGGTCGCCCATATGAAGACAATGTTCTTCCAACCCCTGAATCAACCATACCATCCCCTAATAGCCCTTTACCCATACCATTCTTCTCCTATGATTAAAAATATATAGGATAAGTTGAAAGTAAAGTTTTTTTTTGTACTGCTTTTTTCATGTGTACTTACACCATGTAACTTATTTCTTTCTAAAGTAGCTATGAACGGATGTTTCGAAATATCACGTAAACGAATCCTGTCTTTTGGATTTTTCTTCAATAATTTATCTATGAGATCTTTAGCATTATCTGATAAATGAGCTGGCATCACATAATCAGCCATGACCACACGTGTTAAAGTACTCTTAACAGCATCTGTATCAAATGGAGGTTTGCCAACTAATAGGGTATATAGCATGCACCCTAAACTCCATACATCTGCCTCCAAACCATGAGATGATCTTGTTGCTATCTATAGTGATTAAATTAATATATTAAGTATATTAATTTCTTTGAAATATATTTATAAATTATTCAACAAACCTCTGGTGATATGTAATTAGGAGTACCACACATAGTTAAATGTTTCTCATCAGGCCTTGTCAATTGGGTAGCCAGTCCAAAGTCTGCTATTTTCTGTAAATTAAAATTTATTCATATTTACAACCTTTAATTTAATGATAAGTTAGAAAGTTCCACAGTGTATCAATTTGTCTTACCACTTGCATGTCTCTAGTTAGAAGTAAATTAGATAAGGACATATCTCTATGAAGTATTTGATGAGAATGCAAATATAATAATCCTTGTACTACTTGTCTAATTATACGACCAGCTAAAACAATAAAAATACATGTAATATATAAAAAACTATAAAAATTATATATTTATCTAAATGCATACCCTGTTCTTCAGGTAATGCGCGGGAGCCCTGTATTTTAAGAAAACGCTGAAGCTCTCCATTGTGACACAATTCTAATACCAGATAAACATAATTGGCATCTTCAAAGAATGTGTACAATTCTAGCACTGCTGGGTGCTTCAGTCTTGAATGAATTGCTACTTCTTGTCGTACTCTACCCACCATCCCAGCAGCTTGCATCAATTTTTTGTCGATCTAAAATTGTTTTAAAATAAATGTATATTCATATCTTTATATATATTTAACCTAAAATGTAACTAAATTACCATTTTTATCGCAACTTCTATGCCACTGCGAAGACATTTTGCTCGATATACACTAGCGAAGCCTCCTTTCCCTAATAAGTTTAATACTTCGTAATCCTACGATTAGAAATCATTAATTAAATGTTGTAACGGAACAAGTAAGCGTACAAATTCAAAAAGCTAACCTCTATTTGTTCACCGAAACCTCCAGACAACGGTGGCATTTCCAGCGTCCGAGTGATAAAACCGTACAGTTATTTTAATCACCACGGGCATTAAATAGCACACCTTCTATGCATGTAATTTCTTCGAAATGAAATATATTTAAGAAATGTATCAATAAATTTGTAAATAGAAATGACATGGCGCGTCCACCACATATAAATTTCGTGTACTTTCAGTTATAATAGATGGCGCTTTATAAACGAATCTCTATTTCAGGTCAAAACATTGGCAGGGCAACCATCAACTTAGAATGGATTATAGGTCATTGATAAAAGTACTCAAGTTTTTTGTGAATTTAAACGTGTTTTCAATTTCCACAACTGTAATTCATTCTAAATAACTATAATTACAAATTAATTACAAATAATATACAGCACAATTTTCACATTATGCATTGGGATTGTATTAGTGTTTTAGCGAAACTGGACGAAATATCGAAATGCTGCACAATTTTTTGACATTAGTATACGATTATTCTACAATATAGATATTTTGATGTTTAGTTGTTATAATAAATACCTTATATTTACGTTTTTAATTATTAGCTTCACTTTCACTGTGTAAGGAAATAATTCGTACTATAATTGTACACTTATTACACGTTTCATTTATGAATTATTTGTGGCACAGGATTCGTTTACATCGCGTTTGAACCTATTGACCTATGATCTAAACCACCATACACGAAAAATATGGAGTTCTTTTTTTCATGAGGTCAATCTTTAGAAATAACACAACTACAATCAGTAATTCAGCGATGTTCAATATTTTTACTAAAAAAAAAAGACTGACAATACATTAAAATAAGGAATTATTTTGAGTATTCATAGGCATAGAACTCTGACATCGTTGCGCCGGAGGTTGATAAATAGGCTGTGTGCTTCGTTGCTGATTACGTTTTTTGTTGTAACCAGTCTTATTTGCAGGAACAACTCCACTACCACCTCTTCGAAATTCCATACCTGCTACAGAAGTTTTTATAAATAATCTGAAAGACTTACGCATACTCTATATTTATATGGGTAATCATCACAAAAATTTTGTATATTTACCACTTATATGATTTTGTGTTTGGTCATACCGTAACTGCCTATTGCTGAATCGTTGATCTGATGGTTTATGATCCATAACATAATCTTGAACAACTTGACTCTGGAGCTAAATACAAGACAGTTATTATTTATGTACAATTCTCAACGAATAAACAGATTGTACGTATATCCATTTTACATACATCCTCTGTTATAGGTAAACAATCCACTTGAAGCACTTCTTCATAATTTTCAAATCCTTTAAATTGTACGACACACGTCCTATCTGATACCCCAGTTACTTTCGCGTTGTAATACTGCATTTCAGGAACATTAATTAAAATATATACACTAAATATTAGTAATATATTTAATATACACAGTTATGCTATCTCACCCTGTTATCTTCCCAATATTTTGCTAGACATTTATCACCTACTCGCCAAACCCAAGTACTGCCAACAGAAGGAACATTCGTATTTTGATTGCTACTGTACTGATTGTGGCCTCTTTGGGTGTTGAGCCGTATAGTCCCCTTGCCTCCAGAATTGTCATTTGGTTGAAATCCATTTAGTTGGTTTTTGTAATTCTTATCACTTGTGTTTCCGGGATAACCTCTGTGTGTCCCATCTTCTTGTGCCCGATTATGCCTACCGTAAGAAACGTCATATGTCTGTTTCTTGTTGTGGGTTATAATACCTACTACTATTTATAATTTCTACATCTGTACGTGTTTGTATACTGGAATTTCGGGAATCACTTAATTGAGATTTTTGGTATGTTTTGCTTCCACTGTCTTGTTGAGAATAATTATGATTATCTGAATTTCGTTGAAATCTTGGTGGTTTATTTTGTTGAGAATGATTCCCTCCATTATATTGAGAATACTGAGTGGCAGGATTATTAAAATTTGGTTTTTTACTACTCTTATTTTCTTCTGAATGTCTTGGAGGAACTTGATATCCACGACCTGCTTTTTGAGGTCTGTATAAAGCAGATTTTTATTAATGACTTTTGCTACATCTATATTATCACACAAAATTTTATTAGCAATGAAGTGTACCTTCCACTTTTTCCAATTTGTGATTCACTAGATTTAGATTCAATTCTGTCATAATTATTTTCTGTGCTTGGAGTATAACTATTCTGGGATGGATTGCTGGTTTCTGTAGTTTCCGATTGTAAAGGTAACTTGTCCTCGAGAAAATCAAAAAGAGATATTTTTCCACTGCTTGGTTTACTTTCTTCAGCTTTTTTATCAAATCGTTTATTCCGCGGTTCACGCGCTTCTCGTGTTTCTTTAAATGTACTAAAATAATTGAAATAGAAGTGACAATTAAACGATCGTAAAAATTTAGCAAATTAGAATAAAAGGAAATAGGTATACTTGTGTTTATTATCTGTTTTCAGCAAACTTCTCAAAGCTTTGTCTACATTATTTCGATTAACTTTTAAGGCATATTCTGCTTGTTCTATAGAAAAGCCTTGATCTACAATTCTTTGTACACTATGATCTAAGAGCTGTAAAATATTCAGCGATAATAAAATTATTTAAAATTTAAATTATAGTACTTAGTAGAATGTACCTGCTTGTTTCCTCCACCAAAAACTTTTTTGCTACCTTGCTTAGCAGCTTCTGTTATAGCATCTTTGCGTTGAGCTTCAAATTCTGCATTTTCTTTACTAGACTTTTCCTTTTCTGCTAAAGCTTTAAAATTTTTATCTTGTTCAGAAACTTTTATAATTTTCTTTCCAAATGGAATCCATGGTGGTGGACCACCTTCTTCCACAGTTCTCACTCTTGTGTGTAATGCCAATTTCTATTACAAAATACACTTTTTAATTTCATATATACCAAAATTGAATAATATAACGTACTTTGTTCAGTTCCCATTTTTCTACAAGGGCTGTTACTTTTCCCCCAAGTACTTGTATTATAGTTGATGGCCTTAATAAAATAATTCCATGGGACATTGATAAATTTTCAGCACTGATTAATATTTTTGTACCAGGAGGTGTATTTAAACTAAAATACAATGAAATTCAAAATTTAATTATAAATTAAATGTTTTTCATATCAACTATAAAAACATTCAAGCATTGCCTTTTTACCTTAAAGATGAAATGTGCTGAACTTCTACTGCTTGAAAGTTATTTTTACCATCTGTTAAAAAGAATTTTAACAAACGTGGAGCTGCCCGTGATTCCTCATTGCTTTTAGGAGCAGCAACATTGCGTACTTTTTGTATTTGCAACACAATGTTACTCTGAGTTACATCTCCTAGACCACTACCAGTCTCTTTCAGATCAAGCTATTAATAGACGAAGAAAAATTATAAATATCAAAATGACCATTTTTTTATAGATGCAAATTATATAATGAACTATTCTTACATCCAATAATCGCTTAATGATCTTTTGTATATCAACAATATTTTCAGAATCACTTGCAGTATTGTAACCATGATCTGTAATGTACCTAATTCAAGTAAATATAAATATTTTTTACGTTCGAATTTTATTTATGTTCTTGAATGCGATATGTTTGTAAATAGCGAGATACGTCAATTTTTATACGCACCACCCCCTATCTTGCAACCTTTCCATAATGTTCACCGTCATATTGTCCCTAAGCCAGGTTTTTCAGTAAAACGGTCGTTCTGATTTGGCAACTTTCTCAGGTGAAATTTCATGCACGTTACATGCGTGTATTCAACTTGTACATAAACATGTGTCAGCTGACGTGTAAACCAATAGGAAACCGAACGTCAAAGTATGAACAATTGCAAAATCAAAATCAGCTATTTTTGTGGATATCCAGTGTCGTGTATTACGCGTCACGATGCCACTTTGCTTGTCCAAATAACGAACAAAAGGAACCGCACCTATTAAACCTCGAATTCTCTGCCACCATCTTGAACATTTTAGTGCACTGTGATTTCAAGATCGATATATCGGTACTGTGTAGCAGTATACCACTATCGATATATCGCCTGTTATTTAAACTCAATATTGCTACAGGTATCGTAATAATTAGCAGTAAATTATTTTCTCAATATTCTACGTGTCATTTTATTTCATTTTTATTGTCATAAAATACATGCTAAAAGTACTAAATAATCGTTTACACGATCATCATTGTTAAATATCATTGATTCACATACTTATTTACACAAAATTTTTGTCAAAGATATTTTGTGCAAAAAGAAAGTTTAAAGTAGACATGGATTTAAAGTCGTATCCAAACGCAATATATTGTAGGTTATGTAACAATATGAAGTTACAAAGTAATTATGTCTATGGAACAGAGTGAAACTGCAGCGCTGCACAGATTTTAGAAGAAATCGCGCAGAAGAGCTTAAGTAGATAAGTAGATTAATTGAATGTAATGCATCGTTATTTGAAAATGATGCACGAACGCGGTTATACGCGTGGAAAATAGGTCATAAAGACACGTTTCTAACGTTCGGTTCTAAAATCAAGTTTCGGAGAACTGTAAGAGTTGTTCATTTCTCAAATACTTGAAATTCTATAGATCATAACCGTTATTTTTACACAAACATAAAATAACAAAATTTTCAATATTTTTATACATAGTGCCTGTAAAATATTTACCTTCGAAAAGATCTCCTAATAATTGTTTAAACAAAAAAATATTTACAATAACTTTTTTTTCAACTGTTTCAAAATGGTTTATACCATTCGTAAATTAATTAGGACCGACAAATTTTGCAAAGGTCACTATCACCAACAACCCCTACGGCGACGAGGAATAAGAAAGACATTAACTGCTGATCGGTCCAATTTGAGCTGATGATTATTACTCGGGTGGAGTTCCGTTTGAACAAACGATGAAATTAGATCAGATAGGAACTAACTTCGGAGATGACGGAAGCGTATAGGCACGACTAAGAACAAGACCCACCCATATCACCATTGCATTGATAATTTGCAAAAATTGATTGTTCTCAAGATCATAATTATCATAAATTACCCAGTTACCACGGAAAATGAACAGTTTTAACAATTCTATTTTCGTTGATCTACATTTACATTCATACGAGACACTACTGCACATGCAACGATCGTTATTTTCTAAATGGAAAGCACAGATTTAAAATTCACCAGATATTCTAACATTTCTGGCCGCGAGAGAAATTAACTTTGCATTACTGGATCAGTTTTAGCAAGTGAAAAATGATTACGACGCTAAAGGTGCGTCAGGTCGGATATAAATAATACCTTTAATGCCTTTTCGCGAAATGAAACTACCATTTGTAACCTTCGTAATACATTAGCTAAATTATTCGTGTTACTTAAACGACCAAAGGTAGGAGATTATCACAATTTTACATCTCATAAAAATTAATACATCTCGTCGTAGAAATATACTTTCCACCATGTACGATAACCTACTACAACGAAAACCGACGCAAAGTTTAATTCACAATTTCGACCGACGAAGCATCCCGATGCTGTACATAAATCTCATACGCAACATTTTCTTCTACCATAGAGAGAGAGAACGTCCGTTAATTAAATCCAACAATGGCAAGAATTCAATCGAAAAGAATTACGAAATGTCGTTCGATCGCGTGGCGAGCATCACATCGCATGTATCTGTCGGTAACGTCAGCTCCGTGGATGATGATACACATGGATCGACGAAAGGGTGCACTTGAATATCGAGCAATTCGAAATAAGCGAGGTTTAAATATTACATCGATACGCGGACCAAATAACAGTTGGGGACACGGAGGCCCATTGAAATCGTTCCCCTGACCGTACGTGCTATTCTACGGGGCAGAAAGCAGGTATAACCATCTGGCACGATACAAGAATACGAGATGTTTCTCGTTGCATATATTTCACACGCAACGACCGCGTCTCCTCGGTCGTACCCCACTTTCGGTAGCTTTAAGCCCCACCTCTTTCGAAGCGTGGATTCTCCGCGCGTCGGATCGCACAATGGGTACACGCACCGTATAGAAAAGTTAAGAGTAAGTACGTTGTGTACACACATGTATATACGACGTTAAACGATGACTTCTCGTGGTGGAAAAGGGAGATTCGAATAGTGAAAAAGAGAAACGTGAAGGAGTAGGACAGAAGGAGAGAGTGAGGGGGAGCAAACGGTGAGGGAAATAATATTAGAGAGAGAGGGAAATAATCAGGGAGACTGAGCAACACAGTGTATAAGAGGAAGAGAGAGGGAGAAACGGTGGAAGAGAGAGAAAGAAAGAGAGAGAAGCCAAGTCGGTTTTACCATTTCAGTTTCACTCAGACCCGGCCTGAAATCGCGCGTGTCCACGCCGATATACTTGAGCCGCAGCTTCGTGCCTGAATTAAAAGCGACAATTTTCCACAGGGCTGTCGCGCTTCGTGGCTAGTACCATTCGACCGAAAGCCGTTGGGCTAAGTGATTTTCGCACCGTCGCTACCGCTGAAGCAACAGTTTTCGAGCCGTACTACGCGAAAAGGTGTCACGTTTCGTCGGACGAAAGAAATTGTTTATATTTCGTTCAAGCTACCCAACGCCGGTGACGACTAAACAGAGGCTAGCCTACGGTATAAAGTGAGTAAAATTTTTCGACGAACTTTCTTTACCCCGGTGTCAATCATCAATTACGACCAATTGCGCGATTCCATTTCGTACACCACGGCGAGACGTAGATATTGGACGTGCTGTTGGCTGTCGATCGATCAACCGGTGATTACTCCTTTTTTTCCTTTCGTGAAGAGACACTTTTGAATTTCATTTTCACGATGTTCAAATTGATTATTCGTGGTGAATTAGGCGCCTATGAATCGGGGGGAGTCAGCATTTTTCACGGACAAAGGACCGCGCTGCAATCCATCGTCGTGAATCAGTCAGGAAGTTCAATTACAACAGATCCAGCGAGTACGAGCGATAATGCAGGGATTAACTAACGTTCACAAATACGAACTACGAAGTATCAGTGGTCAGTGGTTATGTTGCAAGTAGACTTGTGCTCGAGTTGCATTTGCGTTCTCGCCGTAATCGCGCGAACCATTTCGATTTCGACCGGTCGATCGTGCTGGACGATATTATGTGCTCGCAAATGCGCACGCGCAATGCGTTCATTTATGTATTTACACAGATGACGATCGTCGAAAGTACAGCGGGGTATGACTAATACGTACTAAAAAACGTTGTTGCAAATTGCCAATCGTGGCGGTTAAGTATTTCCTAGTATCCATATTGTTACAAAGCGCGTGGCCATTGTCGGTTTGCCTCTCTGCGTAGTTGCAAAGCATATTACGAGCATCGTAAACATGAGCTCTTCGACGATCGTAGAACGCGAAGCGTGTAAAACCCGACGACCTCGGTTTCGACGACGTAACTTTCCACCGACTGAAAGGAACCCTTCCTTCAGCTTTTTTTTTTTTTATCTTTCCTTCTTTTTCGCTTAGACAGAAAAAGACCCTTGCTTTCTTTCCAGGTCAGTTTCTACGTTTCGATTCCATATATCTTTCGTGCGGTTAAACGCGATGGAATTTCATTTCAAGGACCTTCAAACACCGGCGCGATAATTTCTCGACGTATAACCCAGATTCACTGGGGTCGGCGGAAATTTACGAGCCGTGCTGGTATCGTGACTAACGCACAAACTAGGCGCGAGAAACGCGTTTTTAACGATTTTCTCATCTTTGACTTAACCTTGAAGCCGATTCGTCAAAACGTCTGAACGTGTCAACCGTCGTTTCCTAGACAACCAGCGGCACTCTCGTTGCCTCGCTTTATCTACACGAATCATCTGTTGTTCGGTACAATTGAACGAATGTCTCTCCGCCGGAGAAAACATATTCGCGTTGTAGTATAGCGTAAAACGCATAGCTGCGTGCGTTAAAGGACGCAGTTATACATGATGATGTCAGTTGGGCGAGTGGGTTTGTTTTCCTTCAACAGGTCTGAATCACACGTTGGGCACAGGCTCGTTTCGCACAATCACGTTTCGATCGAAACTTTACGTAATTCTGTCTCGTTTAAACCTCTAAAAGAAAATTATAAAGAAACAGCGTACAATCGTTCCGACGATATTACCGCGTGACTAGTAACCCTATATTCTTCTCCGGTTGTAAATACACATAAACTTCACGAAAGTATCTTAAACGAACGGTAATCGATCGTGGTCGAGTGTCTACGTCGTAAAAAAGGGAAAAACGCGTTGTTGCCTGATGAACGAGGGGGTAATAACGCTCGCGACGAAAGAGAATGATCGATACGCGTCGAAGTCGCCTCAGAACGGTCGCAATTATCACACGGAAAGGAACTAACGCCCGGTTTAATTAAGTTCCCCGGTGGTCGGTTGCTCATTACGCCGCGTCCTAGACGAGGAAGGAAGCGTCCTGGTGACGTCACACGCCACGCTCGGTCTATTATTTTTTACGTTTTACATCGGCCGTGGATTACTTAATGGCGAAGGGAGAAGCCACTTTCTCTCTCGTATAACGTGTCTTTAAGGCAGTATGCCGGTGCGTGACCGAGTCTCTCTCGAGAGCACCGGCTACAGCTCGTTGCAAAACCAGCGTGTCCTTCCACCGCGCAACGTTATTGCACTAGTCGGTTGCATAACGATTCCTTACACGTTTAAAGGCGATTCTTAATTATCGTTGGTTGAGTTACGTGGTGTAACATCAAGTTCAAGAGAAATTAACGTAATCGTAAGCAATTTAACGGTTAAGTTGGAACTGCTTGTAGGTTATCAGGTCGTTGAGAGAAGAAAGGCTTTTACCGCGTGGTTTAAAGGTGGTTTCACGCCGGTCATGGAAAAATACTTCTCGATGTTATCATTTAACCACAGGTCGCATAAAGACACTCCTTTTTGTATATATTTTTCATATTTCTGCGAATGTTTCCACGGTCCCTACTTCGATACCAAAATTTTATTACTGAATATAGACGAGATATAGTAATATTAATATTAATACTATAGTAAAGGTACATATATTAATATTATAGTACAGGTATACAGGGTGTTACCTCTAACGCGACGCACGATTTTTCACCCACTTGCAGCCACCTGACAAAAAAGAGTTTACAATAAGAGTTGCAGGGTATGGAGTGTACAATAGATATCAGTAAAAAAAATTTCGAAAACAGTTTGTTTTCATGGCGAAATCAAGGTCACCTTGGGTTTTACAAATAGGAATACATATTTTTTTTTTTTACCATTTTTTTGTGGACATCGAGACGAATTCAAAACACATATTACATGATATTTTTATAACATTTTGTTTCTTGAAATAAAGTGCATTTTTCTTATGTCTAGTCGCGTGTTTACATTCAGTATTCTCTTCGGTGTCAAATAACGTTTACACTGTCTTAAAGTCAAATACGATGCAAAGCTAAATATTTCACATTTCCAGTACTGTAAATCGAATAATACGTTAGTAAAAATATCATGTAATATGTGTTTTGAATATGTTTTCCTATTTGTAAAACCCAAGGTGGCCTTGATTTCGCCATGAAAACAAACTGTTTTCGAAATTTCTTTTACTGATACCTATTGCACACTCCATGCCCTGCAACTCTTGTTCTAAACTTCTTTTTATCAGATGTCTGCAAGTGGGTGAAAAATCGTGCGTCGCGTCAAAGGTAACACCCTGTATTACTATTAATATTATAGTAAAGGTTAGGTTAATATAACGATAAAGAGATATTAATATATATATATTAAAATTTCACATGAGAATATCGAACACTCCTCGAGTAACAGCAATTCTCTCCATGTGTAATTTTAAAGCAACGGTTGAGCAAACTTTGTAAGGTGCTAGACGCAGCGTGAAATGTGTTAATTATCGTTAATCAAGCGACGCCCACTTACATAAAGTTCACGTGAAATTAGCGTAATCGTAAGAGGTTAACGTTAACTCGTTTATTGATTATAGGTCACGAGGTCGTTCCAGTAAAATACTTTTGCCAAAGACCAAACTGTGTCCCCTTTTAATCGCGCCGTACAATGAAACTAGAAATGCTCGGCCATGGTGGCCATAGGGAAGATCGATGAAGACCCGGGCGACATCACGTACGCACGCAATGTCACGTGCGAGTGTTTTTTTTTTTTTTCAACGATAAACAACCTGTATCAATTATGATGTAAGTTCGAGTAATTAAGGGTAATGAACAACGCGTAATTAAACATGTGACCATGATCCACGTACAGAAACGTGTGTAACACAGCAAGGTTTCTACAGTTCTGCTACGAATTCACCTTTATCATCGTCTCCTCTGAATAACGATCGAGATCGATGACTATCGCTCTGAGAAGCTCTCGTACAATTTTATCAGAAAACGATCCTTCGAATCGAACCGCCGAGTGAATGTAATTTGACCGTCGTTTCACTATTCACTTGTGTACAATAGTCGTGCTTATGGTGGCTCGGAACGGTGTAGGTTCACCGATGAATATTTCAGAAACCGGAAGTGCTCGTTGCGTCACACGATAGTTGGAACGAGACGGCAGGTGTAATCGTCGATAGGAATAGCAGATTAAAGCGGGAGGGAAAAGAAAAAGGATAATTACGATTTGACGGGTTAAAACGTGTCAGTAGAACGTTTTATAAATACAAGCGAAAATGGTGCTCGTACCAGCCAGATAAGGATCGTGCAAGGAAACAAATGCGCGTAATTGGAAATCTGGAAATGTGTTCGCGCACATTTACGATACTGTACACGCAACGAAGTCCGGCGTTTTCACGCGTAAATAACGCGATTCTTTTTCCTGTCACGCCGCTCCTGAACTCGTCCGAGTTTTTCCCGATCTAGGTCAAACCCGTTGAGGAAAATTGCTGGAGATTACGCGCGGTGACAATTGAATAACACCCGTGATCAGGCAAGAAGTCTCTTGTCTGTGTTTCAAGATCAAGTCGATTTGCGAGTGGAAAAAAGGGGAGGATAAAAAAATTTTTATACTGAAAAGCGCGCAAGGTTTGCGGTTAAATTTAACCCTTTCGAGGACGATGAACCCGTACGAACGTGATGAGAAAAAATTGTAAACGTTGTGTGGTACGCGGTTGTATAATAAAAACTGCATGTGATCTCGTATCTGCATATTTTAGCAAACTATCGTTTGTGAAACGTGGAATGTTTTTTATATATCGTCGATGAATCATGAATAATGTTAGCTGTTTGTATCTTACGAGTTGATGTGATTCATAGCCGAGGAATCTCTACGGTTGATACCTTTGAACATGGAAAATATTTAGATACCGTGAAAATTTTATTTGAATATTTTAAAGAAAAGGAGGGTTTCTGAAAGTTTTTAATAAAATCTTCCGGCGATATTTGTGACTTTTAATAATTTATGAGCGTCTTGTGCCGGGAGCAAGGGGGTTAGACGAAATCGCGTGACAATAAAATATTCAGAATACATATGGAATTATTTGAAATGGTAAAGTTGCGAAACTACTATATGCACGATTTTTGTTTTGCATCAAAGTTTAATGTGCTTAACTTATATAAGCGTGTTGTGTTATCTTGCACAGCTAGATGAAATCAGTGCAAACGTAGTTTCACATTAATTGACAAAATGTTTTTCTTGGCTCTTGAAAAATTCAATTTGTGCAGTTTTATAATTTTATCGTTTATTTATGAATTCTTCGAATTGAAAGTACGAAATGTAATGCTTCCTTTAAAGGGTTGAACATTAATTTACTCTCGATAGTGGATAAAATCAGTGTAAATGTAATTTTACATTAACCCTCCGTAGGTAAATTGGGTAGTTTATGTCCAAGTCTAACTTCTTTACTGTTTTAAGCTTTCAAAAAGTCTGAAAAAATTCTGGAGCACTTATCAAAGTCTCTATTACGTTATACAATTGTTGGTTGGGTCAAATGTTTAAAACTACTACTTAAAAATACTTTCGATAAAAATAAAAATTAGCTTCGAAGAAATTCGGGAGTGAATTTTTCACTTGGGTCGTAAAAGACCCAGTTGCCTACAGAGGGTTAGTTGACGAAATGATTTTCTTCTCTCCTGAAAAATTCAATTTATGCAGTTTCACAATTTTATCATTTTAGCAACGATTTGTAATTGATAATTTCTCCGAATTGAAACTAACAAAATACAGTGCTTCCTTAAAGGATTGAACATAAATTCACTCTCGATAGTGTTATCTTACACAGTTAATTTCAGTGCAAACGTAATTTTATATTAATCGACAAAGTAGTTTTCTTCTCTCCTGAAAAATTTAATTTATGCAGTTTCACAATTTTATCATTTTAGCAACGATTTGTAATTGATCCATAAATTCTCCGAATTGAAACTAACAAAATACAGTGCTTCCTTAAAAGGCTGAACATTAATTCACTCTCGGTAGTGTTACCTTAAATAATTAATTTTAGAGTGCAAACATAATTTTACATTAATCGACAAAATAATTTTCTTCTCTCCTTTACATAGTTCAGTAAAATCAGTGCAAACATAATTCCACATAGATCGACAAAATAATTTCCATCTCCCCTGAAAAATTCAATTTACACCAGTTTCACAATTTTACCGTTCCAACATTCAATTTACAATTGACCCATAGATTCTCCGAATTGAAACACAAAATACACCGCTTCCATTCACTCTCGATAGAAGCCCACTGTACTATACCGGTCCCCTAAGTGCATACCACGAACGCAATAGATTCCAAGTGCGCTTTCGAACGACCTGCAGAAGGTAGAGAACCGGCTAGGTTCGTAAATACCATTTTCTCTGTCGATAAACACGATGACGTTGGTATTAGCTAGTTGAAACGACCCACTTCCGTTGGCCTCATAGGAGACGGGTCGGTTCTACCTCCACACACCACCGAAGGTCGTCGTTCATCGTGGTTGGCAGGTGCAAAAAAAAAAAAAACAAATCTTACCAGATATATATCAGAGATATACACCTGGAGACGGTGAAAACGTGTTGCTGGCCACCGCGAGAGAGCTCGATGCTTCGCGGCGACATGCAAACGTGGTCGTCGTCGTCGTCGTGGATCGATCCGCGATCCCTTACGTCACGCGATCGAGATCCGTGAGTTAGCTAAAGAGGTTGAACGGGGCGTACGTGATTCGCGGAACAATCGAGCGCGAACTCTTACTCATCGACGATGATCTTGAAACCGTGACGCGTCCTCCTGATTCGAGGACTTGCGTGATTTGCTCGTCCGCCAGCTGGATAATAGTAGTTAGCTGTTGCATGATTCATTGCAGCTTTATTTGTAAATAGATGGAGAGCCGATGAGGTAATTAAAGGAGGTGTTTAAAAAGTACGTATTATGCAACGTGCAAATGGAGTCTGCGGTTGGTGGATTTGGTGATGGAGTTGTGTCTTTTTGTTTTGAAAAGGGATAATCGTCGGTGTTGATGAAATTTTGGTGTGTTGTAGTAAAAATAATGTTTCATATGTGTCCTTTTTTTGTTGGCAATTGTTCAGATTGGAGGAGTGGAAGTGGCCCTCCATGATACGGGGTAATAAACATGTTTGGTGTAATATTTGGAAAATTGCTGGAGGTAGTGTGAAAGTATTTTTCAAGGATAAAATTTGGGAAATACAAAATTAATTATTTTTAAAATTTGAGAAATACGAAGTTTGTAAAGTTCTAATGGGGGTAATAAATATCTTTGGTCTAATATCTCGAAAAGTATTAGAGATAGGGGAGCGGTGTAAATTGAGGAATTTGAAATTTGGAAAATACAAATTTATTATTTTTTAAATTTGTCCCTGAGAAATACAAAATTCGTATAGTCCTCATGGGGGTAATAAATATCTTTGGTCTAATATCTCGAAAAGTATTAGAGATAGGGGAGCGGTGTAAATTGAGGAATTTGAAATTTGGAAAATACAAATTTATTATTTTTTAAATTTGTCCCTGAGAAATACAAAATTCGTATAGTCCTCATGGGGGTAATAAATATCTTTGGTCTAATATCTCGAAAAGTATTAGAGATAGGGGAGCGGTGTAAATTGAGGAATTTGAAATTTGGAAAATACAAATTTATTATTTTTTTAAAAATTCGTATAGTCCTCATGGGGTAATAAATATATCTGGTCCAATATCTCGAAAATTATTAGGCAGAGGAACTGTCGAAATTGACGAATTTTTTATTTCTCAAGGACAAAATTTGAAAAACACAAATTTAGTATTTCACGAAATTCGTCAATGTACACTATGCCTCTATCTCTAACAATTATCCAGATATTTCGCTCTCCAACTTTGATGTCAATTTTCAACCCCTTCACCGTCTACAATTAGCGACATAAAAAAAACACGCGACGAATATTTCCTCGAGAACTACCATATACCACAAGTTTCACAAAAATTGGCGATTTTTCGCAATGTCCCCTGTTAGATCTGCGAGTAAGATAGGAAGGAAAGTGCGCTACAATCTTCAGAAGAAATGGCTCATGCCTGGAAGTTATTCATGACTTCAGATATAAGGACACGTGAAAGTTGCTTGTTAGATGAAAATTCGTTTAGGAAAAGCATGATGCATCGATGTCGACCTACAGTGAAAGTTCAGAGCTTGTGTCACACAGAGGTTCGGTAAATAGTCGACATCTTTCAAACGTAAGGATTATTGATCGTGGTTACTTCTCGATAGGAAAACAGTTTCACCTTTGCATTTTTCAGCTCCAAGAATTTCGTTCGATTCCAAGATTCACGATCCATTCTTGCATCGATCTGACGAAAAACCTTGATCGTCCTTCGAAAATTCTACGTTTGCATTTTTCAACCCTCGAGATCCCAGCTCCAAGAATTTCGTTCGATTCCAAGATACACGATCCACTTTTGCATCGATCTGACGAAAAACCTTGATCGTCCTTCGAAAATTCTACGTTTGCATTTTTCAACCTTCGAGATCCCAGCTCCAAGAATTTCGTTCGATTCCAAGATACACGATCCATTTTTGCATCGATCTGACGAAAAACCTTGATCGTCCTTCGAAAATTCTACGTTTGGAAAGCAATCGAGATTAGAAATTAAAAGTGACGACGAGGCGATGGCGTAATCACGGCCAATTGCCAGTAAGAATGTGGGTCGGCGGAAGGAAAAAATTGAGGACGATCACGAGCTCCATGAAATCATGAAAGAAACTTCTACCTACCGTGACATCAGCACGGAAACAATTACTAAAGCGACCAAGCAACGCGTCTGGGACGTGTCTTCAGGAATCACAATCGCGATAGATTGCGCGATCGTTCGATCCTTGTACGGTACACTTGGAGGAACCGTCGAGTTTGCACTTGCAAAACACCGATTCCGATGATTTATAAGTAATAACGACATCCGGTCGAGGATAAGGTTAACCCGTTTCTTTTTTTCTTTTTTGTTTCGGAACAATCTATCTAATCATGGGTTTAAAGAGTCACGAGATAAATTCGTATAAGATTTGTCGACACTGCACTCTGAACAAGTGCAGAGAAAACATGCTTACATGTCCGATAACTTGCGTCTGGCTTTTTTCATATTTATCTTAAAACTTAGCGTCAACAGGCACTCTTCGGATGATCTTCGCGGTCACTCATTTACATTTCTCGTTTGGTTCCTGACAGATCGAGAAGCGAGGAAATATGGGCTACGGCACGGAAATGGACAGCTGCGGACGCTGTATGAAGTATTCCCTGTTCTTCGTGAACTTCGTGATCTTCGTAAGCATAAGGAACCGTTTAAAATTATTGCTTTAAAGGGGTAACGCCACAAAGGTAGGGTGAAGTTTGGGAATTTTTTTCAGAGGTAACTACTAAATGGAAAGTTTCGATTTTTTCAGAGGATAGAAATGTCACTTTCAGGTTTCTTCTGCAATTTTTGAAGAGTAAAGATGTTGCAAAATGGAGGAGTTATTGCGAAACTTCTTCTGTCAGAACGTCGATTGCTGGCTACTATCGCTGGCAAGGATTGGAACGTCTGAAATAAAAAATTCTTGTTCATTTATAAATAAAAATCTATCGCCTACAGTATAGCTCAGGATTTTTTGGATATCTCAATTATTTAATTTTTGAAAACCGTTTAAATTTGATTTTTTTTTGGTAAAAAGAGATTTTTCTTTTTCAAACTGCCACCATTTCTATAATAATTGCAATTTACGTCTCAAATTAGTTATGAATCAAGCAGAATTTTTTATTTCAGACGTGCCAATACTTGCTAGTGACGCCATTCTGCTTAGCGAATAACTCCGCAATTTTGTAACATTTCTACTTTTAAAAAATTCCAGAAGAAAGCTGAAAGTTACGTTTATATCCCCCCAAAAAATTGAAATTTTCCATGTAGTAGTTACCCACGAAAAAAATTCCAAACTTCCCCTATCTTTAGATGCCTCAGAGTAGTGTAAGTGCCTCTTTAACCTCTCCACTCCTGCTGATAACCTGTAAATCAATTTTCAGATCGGCGGAGTCGTACTAGTCGGCCTAGCGACGTGGGCCCTGTTAGACAAAGTGCCATGGATAGGGGAATTGGTAGGAAACGATCTTCTAACAGGCGCCATTTACGTTCTGCTAGCCGGTGGGGTTATCGTCGCTATTGTCTCTTTCTTCGGTTGCATCGGTGCGTCGCGGGAAATCAAATGCATGCTTCTCACGGTAAGACTCTCTATAAATCCAATTATATCGTTTTCATCGTTAGAGAAAATACCTAGAGGATAGGAAATTTTCTAACTTGCAAAAAAAAATATACATATACGTGTGTTTCAGTACTTCATCATCGTGTTTCTTCTGTTCGTGACCATGTTAATTGGCGGAGTGCTCGCGTACGTGTTCCGTGAAAAATTGGTGAACACGCTCGAGAGGGAAATGTCGAGTTCGATGAGAGTTTACGATACTCGTAAAACAGTGAGAGAGGCATGGGATACGACTCAGTCGACGGTAAGAGAGCGCGGCGCGTTCCCGACGAAGAGACACTTTTGATCTTCTAGTGCTTACCTCGTTTGGAACATGTCGTCTGATTCGGTTGGTTGGTAAATTTTTCTTTTATTTTTTAATTCGCCATCTACGATTTCAGCTCCATTGCTGCGGTGTAAACGGCTGGAGAGACTGGGGAACCCAGGGACTCAACGTTCCAGAGAGCTGCTGTCGCGAGATCCAACCTGGCCAGGTAAAGATTAATTTTCTTAACGAGCTCGTTCTCGGAGACGAAATAGCCGTCGGCGAATCCGTGTATACGTAATTGCAGTAATTAGTGATTTATACGCTCGCTACTACTCATCGTGCTGCACACGAGTCGCTTATACGAGGTTCCTAGCGTTATTACCTTTATGAGATTCAATTATATTTCGAGAACTCACGGAGGCGGAGGAGGAGAAAAAAAGAAATACAAATCTGTCTGGCTCATACGGGTAATTGCTTTCAATTTGCGCAGGGCTTGCATAATTCATGAGCGAATATTTACAAACAACAGTATGTTCACGCCCTAGATTTTTGTCACCGTTATTAATCTTTGCGTACTTTCACTGGCTAATGTAAGAAACGATTTGAAAAATTCTCGTGCCTGTTTGTTTTTGTCATTCATAATTAGCTATTTCGACTGTTATTTTCAAATATATAATTAGCTGTAATTGTAGATCAGTTAGAGAGTATACCAACAGCCGATTTAGCAGACATCTACAGCAATATCGACCAACGATAATAACTCGAGCGAGACGCGAATACGATCCGAAGGGATATTTGCAATTGGTGGCAGGCAGAGTTAGGAAAGGACGGTTCGAGGAGAGATTCCAACAGAATTTCGAAACATGGCCACGACCTATCGATTACGTTGAGAAAAGCATCGATTCCGTGGCAATCTCTTAATCGTGCCCGGAGAGCCTCCTCTTCTGCCTCTCACGCTTTCACCGATGTCTCGATCGACTTTCTCAGGCCGAATTGTTTCTCATGACGACGATCCAATCGATCCTCTTCTTGTTGTTGCAGCGATTCAAATGCAACGGCGGACCAGACACGGTGAATCCCTCGAATGCCTATCTCGTCGGTTGCATCAATGGAACGCAGATTTACATGCAGAAGCACGCGACAATCATGGGTGGCGCTGGTATTGCAGTCGCGTGCCTCATGGTAGGACTTTCTCCCGTTTAATTTGCATTTAAATCGACTACCGACACTCGCGAAAATCCATTAAGAAACATTCCTTCGAGCGCTTTGCCACAATTAGTAGAAAAGAAAGAAAACGAGAAGGAAGACGTTTCTTTCTCTTCTAACTGGTAACTGGTCTAATTAACTGGTAACGAGTGTCCAATTAAATTTGCAACGAAGACTATATTTTGGAAAGATCGTAGAGAAAGAAAGTTCGACGCAGAAACTTCGTTTACACGATATAATTATTCTTTTTTCCAAGTGTTCTACAACACCTGCTTATTATTAAACGTTTTTTTCGTCCACAGTTCTTCGGCATGATATTCTCGTGCGTTCTCTTCAAGATGATAGAATGACGCGAGAGTTGTGTGGTCTAAAAGACAGCAGCGCAGCTTCGTCGTATCTCGCAGCCGAGCTAATGAAGAAGAAGAAGTGGATGTCAGCCGTCCTCGAGCGACTCATGAATTCATAATCAACGTCATCGTCATTGAGTGTACCTAAGCTGAAGTACGAGAATCAAAATGCATCTTCACGCGCATCTACTTTCCGATGTACAGTTTCTCACCGTTTTTCTTTCCTTACTTCCCTCTGCCCCCTTCCCCCTTTTATTTTTGTTACACTTAGCATTATACTCGATGTACCTTTGTTTTACGGTTGCTCTTTTTGTAATTTATCAGGAATACCACGAGTATTCTTCTTTAATATAATATATACATATACAGTGTACTATATATACATATAATTTGTATGGTAACACGATATGTACCTCTGTACATGTAATTAATATAACACGTGTACAAACGACCATTAAAACCAATTTGCGTTTCGATAATGTATACGGAATCGATCGGGCCCCTGGATTCTGTTGGCCGCTGTTGCACCAAGATTCCCGTGATGCAACACGGTTAACGAGAGAAGTTCCGTGCGAATTTCGCATCGCACAACGACGTGTCTTTCCTCGACAGATATCCAATCGCTTCCTTTAATTCGGTTAGCGCAAATCTGCATGCGTCAGAATGTTTCCCCTGTTGCAAATCCTATTCAGACGTACCCTTTGCTCTCCCCTCATATCCTGTCTATCCGAAACGGTGAAACAGACATGCATGAAATGGATGGTTCCCACGTAGTGAAGGATTAATCGCTAACTTTCGACCATGCGAACGATGTTTTGAAGAAAAAAAGACTACGAATATTTGTAAACGAAGTTTATTTACGATATTATACAGAACCTTAACGAAGAAAATTTTCTCTCGAGAAACATTAATGCCCTTGAAATAACGTAAGGTTTAAGTTCTTAGCTTGATGTGTAAAAACTGATCAATTTTATTTATTTTTTTTTAAATTATTTCCTAAGCGTGCAGAAATGAGTTTCCCATTTATTTACAACGCTGTGACTTAGATTTTTGCAACTGAATGGAAAGAACAGGGCAATATGGAAAGTGAAGGAAAGTAATTAGAGAAAATTGCACTTTTTCGAGGATTAGTTGTGCACGTGTAAGACGGGCTCGAGCGTTAAGGGGCTGATTTAACTCGGATTAATTTTAATTTTTCGAAATTCATGACGAATTAAAAGAGAGGACGAACTATTTGCGAGAGATAAAGGCACGCGATACCGGCCTTATTATTCGCCTTTTCTTCGCTTGCGATTCGTGTTTTTCCCGGGGAAAAACGGGGAAGGGAGGGAAAAAAAAGTCGAGTAACGTAGCTACAATCTTCGGTAATGAGAGGGTGTATATAGCTTTTGTTTCGGAAACAGCCAGTACGTTTGCGAACCAGCATCCGATACAAAGACACGCTGGACCAATCCGAGCCGCATAGAGGCAAACTCTGCGCGTCGATATTCCAGACGGTCATTGGTAGTACAGCGGTGGCAAGAAATTTTCTCTTCGAAATATTTCCTCCTCGATTCGTTTCGTTAATATGCAAATTCGACGGGCAATTTACTATACTCCAATCGCGATACCGAAGAAAAAAAAAGAAACAGACACACGTTAGAGGCAGATTGCGAGGTGTCTGAAGAAGAAATTGCGCAAAGCGTAGGTTGTTTCATAGGACGTGCTAGAACGGCGTAGAATTGCAAAATAGAAATTGAAACGGTAAACTGGAAACGCGCTCGTCGAACGATTGTCTGACGTTCTAATCGAAGTTTAGCGTTTGAAAGTCTGCTGCGTGTCCAATAACGGGGCTGGGTCTCCCCGCTATATGTTTGCCTACAGCTTATTCACCCCTTTGTTGTCAGGCTGCGCGCCTCCTTGCATTAAAGCACGACGGGTCCCCGTAATCCAGGCGTCTCGCCAAAATAAACCTTCGTCGCACTCTATCAGCCTCTCCTCTTTTTTATTTTCCGTTTAATTATCGAACGACTTGTGTACAGTCTTTGACAAAAACTTCCTCTTTGATAAGCATTCGAGAGAGAGACAAAAAAAAAAAGAAAAGATTCACGTGTAAAAGAAAAAAAAAGAAACTAAAACCACGATTACACACAACCTCTATCCAAGATCGTTTTCTAAAGCATCTCGTGTCTCGTACAATCACACGAACCGGTGAAACATTGTTCCATCAGTGTTTTAAAACATTCACGAGGACACATGTGCAAGCAGCAGCGCAGTTTCTGCCAAATTTTCCACGCCCTCGGGGCAAGTCGTACAGTCGTAGGAGAAATCTCCAACGAGCACACAGAGACGGACTCGTACAATCCTGTCGAAAATTTACTTCCAACGTCCCGTTGAACACCGTGTCTCGAGAGTTTTACCCTCTCCTCTCCTCTCTCTCTCTCTCAGTAGAGAAGGTTTGATGAAATTTCCACGGGACACACGTTTCCCGGTTCTACACCGTGTTTCTAATTATTCCGTCCCTGTTGATCGTTGTGTGCGTTCGTAATTTTCCGCTGGTTTATCTATATGTATATTGTATGTGTACTATGGTGGTTGTGCGACTCGTCATTTCTTTCCTTCCCTTTTCGGTTTATTCACTCCTGCGTGTGCGTCACCCTACGCGCGTCTTTGCGCCGAGGCGTGACTGGCTGCCATTTCGAAGGCGTCCGAACGATCGGTGCGTGCCACGTATAGAACCATCCTTCCCGTGTGTTTCGCCTTACTTCCTATCTATCAATCTGTCCAATCTTCGACAGTCATTGGTCAACGGCGAATTATTCGAGGGTGGGAAAGTGTCGTAAATGTTTCGAGGGTTAATGTATAGGCTGTTTTATGTGAAGTGGACGATTTCATAATTGTCTAAAGTTTGCAGAATTGCGTTCTTGAATTTGCTAGTAGATAGTACTTGTTACGAATTTAACTCTGGGAGTTAACCAGAACTGTGCGCCATTTAACAGTGAAATAATTGATGAACGATCGCGATCGTTGGTTCGTCAATTATTTCACTGTTAAATAGCAGATTGTAACAGTGAACCGTGAATATAGACCGAATTCCACCGACAACTTATTACAGGGAAAATTTAACAACGAAACTGAAGTATAGAACATTTTCAAAGACCTCCTTGCACCTAGAAATGAAGAGTTCCCTTTTAACAAAGGCATAAACAAAGCATAGTCAAAGCCTATTGAAACCTAATTACACTTTGATCGTACTCCAATTAATAAACATCATTTTTACTAAAACTACAAACGTGAAAGGTTTCATAAACACTCAACCATTCCATCTACCAACAACCCAATCTTTCCACAAGTACCAAGGGTGTTTTTTGTCTACCTACATGACTGCAATGACTCAGGAGCAGCGATGACTCATTGGTTCCAATCAAACAAAGGGTCACGTAGAATTCACCACCACCCATGTCCTTCAACCCTCCACATTTTTCACGTATTCAACCGCGATATTTGAGGCTCTCTACGTTGCTCGAGCAATCTGCAGAATCGCGAGCGTTTAACCACGCCGAAAATTGGAACAAAGTCTCTCTCCGTCGTTTCTCTCTCTCTCGTCATCCCCTTTTTTCTTTTTTTAATTCAAACTTTCACCGTGATTTTCGCGCGGTATATGTGCCCCTCCGGGTAACCGCGGCCCGCACGCACGTTTCTCACGCGGTTTCGCCGCTCGCGAGTGCGCGTCTGAAACGCCGTAAGTGTGAGCGCGTGTCGTAACGTTACGCACGCGTGCGTGCACGATACCCGTGACTCTATTCCCCGCGCCGAATAAGCTCCGTACACGCCGTCAGCTATTCCCGCGCGTTGCCACAAAGGGTCCTCGGACAATGACGAATGAATCGCAACACACGCTACCGTAGGGATAATGCTACTCGTCCCGTGGTCCGATCTCGAGATACCCACGTATACAGGGTGATTCACCTAACTTCGCGACCTGAAATTGCTCGTGAACTGTTCACTGTACACGGAATAATGTATGAAGCAAACGTTGCACCTTAATATTTACTCAGCTTTTAATGCTCTCTTCATTTTTGGAAGGAAATAGAGGGTGTTCCATTTAAATACAATTATGGTGACCTTCGGAACTTAAAATGTTGGATTCTGCTCGAACAATAAGATAGGAATATGTTTACAATTACGGCTTAGTTTAAGATAAATAACCCTAAAATTTCTCTGTACCTTACGTATTAATTCCAAATCGTACGTTCGAATCCGGTACTCTTCAGCCCAGACTTATACGCCTGAATCCGTTACTCTCCAACCTCGAGCCATACGCCTGAATTTGTCACTGATCAACTCTTAGTAACATCCAAGAAAGCCTATTGGACCTTTTCATCTTCTTGCATCTCCAAATTTTCTTTAACCCTTATTTGCCTTTCTTTGCCTTACAGGCAGAGTCTCTTGTTTTGGCGTTTCAAAGATTTAAAAAAATTTTTAAATTTATCATTTTCAAATTTCTTTCGTTAAATTAAGATGGAAATGCACCAAGAGCAAAACTGAAGGATTGAATTAAAGTGTAAGTGTGCTAAAAACTCACCAACAGCACAGTGCGAGGGAATTTCCAAAGATAATTCAAAAATACCAGGGAAAGGGTCAAAGACACGCTAAGAATTAGAAATGATCGACGTCTAAGATCCCAAAACCAGAAACGTAGAAGAATCGCTACAACCCCAACAATTCTAGAAACTATAGTCCAGGTTCCTTAAAACTTGCAGGACTCATCTAAAAGAATTTAATTTAAAAATAAAATTATTATCTCAAAATCTAACAACGTGAAATCATGCAAATTTCGCAATACAGGCGAATAGTTCGCGAGCAATATCAGGTTCGTCAAAAGTTAGACGAATCACCCTGTATGTACTCCAGGCTACTTCCCTCCATTATTTTCTATATGCTTTTCTTGCGTGCCGTCCCACGTCGGGACAATTGGAAATCGTTCGAGAGTACGATTGAAATCGAGACTGATGGGTATCGTCGGAGCCTGCATCACGAGCCACGTTCACGTTCCATGAATATTTACTGCGAAAATAAGGGGGAGAGAGGGTGTCCTAAGAGTGCTAGCTACTTTACAAGTTTGCAAAAGGGAGAGGAGATTCTGGGAGTTGTGCAAGTAGTTAACAGAACTCTTCAGAGTTTCTTTTCGAACTGTTGGCAAACAGGATCTTCGATGTCACGATTATTAGTTCTGTATGGAAATATGACGCGTAGGAGGAGTACTTGAGAGACAGCGAGAGGGGTTGTTAGCGACGATGCGAAAGAATGCAAACTGGATCATCTTGTGCATCGTGGATGTTGATTGGAGATACACGTTGGAGATGAACGTATTGATTCGTTCACCGATAAACTCGATCGAGCTACCTAGCCATACTTACATATTTTCACTCTAAATTCAAATTCTTAGAGTTTACTTACAATTAGTCATCCTGTAATTAACACTGGAATTACCGACTGGGTCGAAATGTCCCATTAGCATCCTTCGAAAAAACGTGAATGTTCAATACTGGTCAGTATTATCGTTTGTAACTTTCCGAATTTATTTTCTATACGAATTTTCCAATCACGGTTCAGTTACGTAAAAATTCATTTTTGGAAAGTCACTAATGGGTCATTTTGACTCGGCTGGTAGTTCTAGTGTTAAGGGCCGCGGTAATTCTTTTTCTACAAAATTGTAATAATAGCAAAAACTGGTCGAGTTCTTTCTACATTGGCGATTAAATTAAACGACTTATTACAAAATTAAATACTAAATTATTACGAAACTTGAAAAACCTAAAAAGGTAAATTAGATCATCCCCCTAAGTTCCTGTCGAATTTGATAATATAGATAATATTTCCAACGAATAG